TTGCAAGCTGAAGCAGGGAACTGCTAAGGCAGCTGCACCCGGTGCGACCATCACAAAACAAGAGACCCGAGAACAAGAAAGGCGAGGCTTCACCACCCATTTATCCCTCCACCTTTCAACCAGCACCACATGTGATTATCGGCCAGGCTGGCACAATTAACTAACTCACCATCATTCGGTGACTCGTGTTAGCTCTATCTTCTGATTCCAGGAGTACCTTACGAAATTGGAAGTGCATAACCTTGTGAGATGAAAGTTTTCCATTTGCCTTTCGGATTCCTTCTTCCCCCTCCACACTCTGCATCCAGGGGACTAATCTTTGTGCATTCAAATACTTGGCGTCTGGTTGGCAGAGAACAGAGGAATGAATGGAGGACAGTGAGTGGTTCCCTTGGGCTGGCTGGCCTTTTCAGTTTTATTGACAGACGCTCATGGCTTCTCTCAAGGTCAGCCTGTCTCCATGAATCTTCATCTGTTCAGGCAGACACAGGAGTGCTCATCACCCTGATCAAGCTATCCCTGTGGTCTCCTTACATACTGCATGTACTTGGGTAGGTAGTCCCTTTACCAAACCCTCCTTGTATTACCCTAATTTGAGTGTGCCATCTGTTTCTTCCTGGTACTCTGTGATGGGGAAAAAAAATTTATCAAGCTATTATTAGTCATAATCATCCAATTATAAGAGAGATTACTTTTCGAGGTATAACTACCTAAGGTTGGGCTTGGAGACTGGAGTGGAGAACAACACGAGTCAATCTTCATAGAGATAGAAGAGGCTCACGACCACCGCAGAGAACAAGGGGCTTGAAAGCAGGCAACCTCTGACCGAGTCCAGACCAGCTGTTGAAGCCACCAGGTCTCACTGCTCTCACCTGTGAAAGGAGCAGTTTTAAGTAGGTCAGTGGCTGTCAGATGGTCTTCCACCAACACCCCCCCACCCCAGTTCCACCGGTGTTTCAGGGTCCTCCAACCTGGAGGGGAGAGGTGCAGAATAAGGACAGGAGTCAGGCAGTCACAAAAGGACAAGTATGGTATGGGTCCACTACTATAAGGAGAAACACTGATTGAACAAGTCTTAGAGACCAATTCCTGAACAACAGAGGAGAAAGCTACCTCCTGGCCATGAACCATCCACCACCTTCTTTCTATGCGCCTCACACGAGCCACCTTGAAGAAGGAGACCTCATGTTGTCTGGCTCCCTCCTTTAAGAGAGGGCAGATAGGAGCAGACCATCCACTTGAGGCTATACGACAAGGCTGGGACAAATCAAAAGATCCTCACAAGACTGGAAGGAGAACCTTGCGGGGAAAATCAAGCCAAGGCCAGGGGAGGGGAGCATCCACGTTTCAGAGGAGCCACTGATAGTTCCATTGGTCAGGATAGTGGGTGACTGGGGAGAAGTAACCTCATACCAGGAAGGGATGTGATACAGTGATTGTAGGGAACCTAGGGGGTCAATGGACCAGATTTTATGTTCCTGGGTGGACTCTGCTAATGCCTTTCTACCCAACCCTCGGTGAACCATGCCATGGGCTAAGCACCACAGTGACCTTGAGCTCTGACCTAGAAGGCACCATGGCAGAACCCAGGACTACACCAGAAGGACTCACCATAGAGGCCTGGCAAAATGAACTGAGTCCTGCCTCAAAGGTGCCACCTGGGGCCTGTGGAAGTGGCGGTCACTTGGACCTTGGGGGTAACCCCTGGTTGGGTGGGTGTTCAATGGAAAGGGACCCAGAATCACTGTATATTTAATACCTCTCCCCTCCCCACACCCCAGCAGTGATATGACAGGTTTTGATCTGTTGGGTAGGGATTTGAACTTGGAAGAACTGATCCAGGAAGATTCTCCCTGGCACCAACCCCCACGCTCCAGGTAAGCAGAGCTCAGTCGAATGGAAGACCACACTGTGTGGAACAACAGCTCATAGGTGGCTGCTCATGGTGGCACTGTGCTGCCATAGACTCTTCATACCTATGTGTCGGGGGTGCTGTGCCATTGGAAAAATTGTTGTTACAAGTACAGTCGCCTTATACTCCAGGGGGATGATTGACAATGTATTACTTTTCTGTTTTGTTGCATTTTTGTTTTACTGCCCTTAGTTTGCTTGTTTGTGTTTGTCTTTTGTTTCCTGCTAGTTGGTTTGTTGCTGCTGTTGGGGTACTTGGTCTTATGGGGTTTTGAGTTTGTCATAGTACAACTGCCAAAGTTCACCTGAGTCATGCATAGCCCAGAGACAAGCAGAGAGATTCTGAGCCTCTGTGGTAGTCACCTAATCTGGTGTCAATTTAAGGACTAAGAGTATAGGGGTGGAGTCTAGGCTGTCATTCTGGAGATAGACAATGAGACTTCTGTGTGGGCATGGACTTCTCCTGAGAATTCTGGGAAATCTGGTACTTCCTCCGTGGAGGTGGAAGACACCTCTCTGCTACTCCCTGGGAGACACTGTAGAAGACAAGCCACATGGACGCAACCAGACCTCGGAAGCCGGAGAAGCCACAGAGAGACCCCTGCCAGCACTGAGATGCTTACAACGCCACTGGACCCAAAGACTTTCTACCCACTGGCTTGTGATCGTCCTGCATTTGGCTTCATTGCATGTGTTTCATGAGTCTGAAGAGGACTTTATAGATTGGTATCAGACATATGGGCTAATATCAGACTTATGACCCTGGACTGGACTGGGTTGGGATGTTTTCTCAATGTTCAATTCCTCTTGTATATAAATCTCTCCCTTACATACATATGCATGTTTATGAATTTGTTTCTCTAGTCTACCCAGACTAACACAGCCTCTTAACTCAAGCCCCAATCCAAGAACAGTTAGTTTTGACAATGTGGTCCTGCTCAATAAGTCACCTTTGTGAAATGATCACTGAAGATAAGGGTGCTACAGCAGTGTGGGGAAGAAAGTAGATGGTGTCCAGCTATCAATTGGAATAGTGTCTGGGTTCTTAAAGGCTTATATTCAAACAAGCAGCCATCTAAACCAGGAGTCTCTGTGGTGGTGAGAGTAGACGTGATGGTAGTACAATCCAGGATGAGGGGAGGGAGTGTGGGGTGGGCAGTGGGGAAGGAATGGATCGAGCCGGTCCAAATCTGAGTTCCTGCATGTACATCAGAGCCCATTAGACAAATCAAGAGGAGGACTGAGACCCAGCCTGTGTCTCAGGATTCACAGATTTATTACAGAGAGGAATTCTGGGTAGAGAAAGGAGATCTGTCACTGGATGGGGACACCGGGTATCCCAAATTGTTTCATTTTAATGTTAAAAGGAATCCTGTCTGGTTCCCAAATGCATACATTCCTGTCTGTGTCCTTTTCTTCTCCGCGATTCAAGGAGTTCAAAGAAAGCTTTCAGTGAGTTAAAGCATTAACCCCTAACCCCTCTTGGCCTTTTGACTGAGATCAAGTGTAGTGTCTGTTCTTACCCGTTTACTACATAATACGACCTCTATCAGAGGACAGTGTATTAAATGGATTTTTGGAGCAGGGAGGTGAAATGGGAGCTTGCCCCTTCCACTACACGCAAGGACCTGGTATGGGCCAGCAACAGTGGCCCCCTCAGGGGAAGTCATGGCTGGTGCAAAAAGTTGGAAAGGTTGGACAGAGCTCTTGGCTCTCCTCAATCCTGGTCCCTAGTGCTTGCCCCCCACATACCCACCTTCTCTCTCCTCCAGGCGGTGCTAACAGGCCTCAAGTGCCTGGTCCCGCTCAGGAACCATTGAGGTCTCCCTGGTACTTAGGGACACTGCTGAGGCCGACAACTGGACTAGTGCTTAGAGGGAAAGTGGGGGCTACTGATAGCCGTACCCCAGAAACACACTCTTGTACCACACGTTGACTGTGTGCTCCATCTTAGGGGGTGTGTGTTATTTTTTTAAAAATTTTTAACATTTATTTTAAGCTTAATTTACTCCCAAGCCATACGATTTTGCTTCTTCACTTTCTTCTGGGAGATCTTTTTCTTTGGGGCAGCCTCCTCTTAGGAACAATTTGCTGACTGCCAGGTCAGCGGCTGGAACCGCCAACTGCAGACGACGAGGCGTTCTCCCCCGGAAGGGGCTACAGTGTTGGAAGCCCCCCCTCTCCCTGTCCGATAGGGTCACTATGAGTCCGAATCAGCATTCTGGAAGGTGATTTTTTGGGGGGTGGGAGGGTGGAGAGGGAGGTGGGTAGGCCGTTCTATGTACAGTTCTTTCTCCTTCCCATGCACGGGCTCCTGTTGAGTCGATTCTGACCCATGCTGACTGCAGGACAAGGGTGAACTGCCCCCGTAGCTCTCTGAGACTGAAACGCTTTACTTGAGAAGAAAGCCTGGCCTTTCTCCCGAGGAGCAGCTAGTGGTTTCGAACTGTTGACCTTTTGGGTGAGCAGCCCGACTTGGACCCCACTACCCACGATGCCTCCAGGGCCCCTTTATCACCAGGACTGCAGATTCTTTTGCGCTTCTCAACCAACGTCAAGGTACTCCACCACCACGCTTCCTTTTTATTCCTGGGTTTTCACGTCACTTACTGCCTCACACCTGTACACATGACATCCATTGCCAAAGGCTCGGGGACTGCTAACAGAACTTTACTCTCAACCACAGCAGGGAGGGAGGGAGCTCACCAGCGGGGGAAGGAAGCAACTGCTTGTCAGGGGCCGACACACAGACCCCCACTTCTCCCGTTCTCTATCACTCTGTCCACACCCCTGGGCCCTCACGCAGCCTCAGCCGCATCTGCAAACCAACTCCCTGCCATCAGTCGAGCTACCTCGGACCCTCACAAATAATGTTGAAAACAAACAAAACTTGTTTTAAAGCATTAAAGTCAC